TTCTTTCCATTAACAAATCCTAACTTTTTCTCAATCTTCTTTATTCCTTGATTAAGAATACATTACTATTGAATTCATCATCCATTTTGAGAGGTTAGCATTTACAAATTGTTTATTAATTTTATCTCATAAATTACTATTTTGTATATGTTAAATACAATATGGTGAAATGCAATGGGAGAAATTTTTGAAAATATTATTCATTGATTTGTTTGGTCTTTCAAATATTTTTGAAAGATAAAAATATCAATATCCTGTACAAAACTGAAGAATTTCATATTTAATGAAGCATTGAGTTATTTATTAATGAGAAGATGTTTCATGTGATAGTTGAGAATTGATTATCACCATTAATGTTTTCAAAAATTTCTTCAAAGGTACCAAATACATGTTTTCAAGTTTCCCGTCAGTTTCTACGGTTCATCTGTCGAATAGTTTTGCTAAAACAGTCGGTTTAGACATGTGAACTGTCGAACCCGACATTTCTAAACTATCTAGATAGACAATTTAACTGTCGAATTCAACACTTGAAAACCGTTGACACAATTGATTTCACCTTCCACTACTCCATGGTTTTCAATATTCGAAAGTTTCACATTCGTATTATTAAATGTAGACATGTTTATTGTGCACAATTCTTATTGTTGCAAGGGAAACATTTCAGGTTTGAGTAATCATTTGAGATTCATCGTATCGTATGGGGGACAGTTTGTTCATGTGGATGAGAACCAGACAATTCATCCGTTGTTTCCGATAGATTATTTTTGTCGTTCTCGATAGTTGACACATACTACAAACTGTAACTACACATACGAGGCATAAAGGACATTGGTGAAACTGTTTTTCTATCTGAGTATTATACAGAGTGACAAATCTTATGAAGTTTTCAAATGTAACTCATTTATTTAGTGATGTAATGCTATTTATAATGAACTTCATTGAAGAAAGCAACTATGGTCAGTTACTACACAACAACCAAATAACATCTCAAACTTATTTTGACATCCAATTGGTGTGATTGTTTAAGGTCCAATTGTACCGTTATGACTTAAACTTTGTACATAATTTATGACAACTGTAAATCCTAATGCGTACGTACTATTTTCTCTTCAAAAATCATGCATGTAGTTGTTCGCAATCAATTCTCATTATGACCTTTGTATCCATTCATCAAGACAATATTGTTCTATGAGATTTTTACATACTTCAACAAATTGATGCACTAATAGGCAAGGAACTATGAGTCGCAAAAACCATGCATGAACTTAAGTATTCGATAAGAATTCGTGAACATGTTTATTCACTCCATGTCTTCGCATTCCAACCACAACATAGTACCCCAACTTTAGACAACATGGATACCATGTGCAATATTTTGCCATACAAATAAAAATGTTTAAGTCACGGTTGAAGGATGCATGAGCCCCAAATCTATATTTGACATCATTATAAAAAATGTCCTGCTACTCTTACATAACTCCCAAGTTTACAGGACGTGAAATTTAAGCAACAAACGAGAAGATTATCAGCCTGTCTGGTGCAGATTATCCTTGCCAAAACATGGATTTTTTGCCCGTTGCAGCCCACAAATTTTGACCCTCTCTCTCAGATGTGGGACCTACATGTCTCCAACATTTTAAAAATTGATTTTCCTACCTCATGTCAGCGCACCCAGACACCCTCTATACACAAATGTATACCGACAATGCTTATCACTTTTAAGACCTAATTGGAGAGGGCACGACTGTAATGAATTATTAATTTTAATACATATTGTTTCGCAAACTTTCAAAAATTGTCCGGTACAAATATCACTGATATACAGAAAAAAATTATATAACACAAGCTTGTATTTATATAATAATAAAAGTGAAATATAATTGAAAGACTAAGGCTAAGTAGAAGAAAATGAAATGGGACAATTGTTGCGTTGCTGAGTTAAAATAACATTCATCGAGACAATATTTTGGCATCACCATCAAGTTTTACCCAGATATAACATAAAAATTGTCTTCATTTTATAGGATTACGAATCCAAATTCATGAATCCAACTCAAAGCGAACTTACTGAAACTAAATTTTTATCCTGAAGAATTGCTAGCGGTAGTTAAAGACCACCACATCAACATGAAAGGAACAATATACTTAGATATCAGCACAAAAAACCTCTGCGATGTGGTGTAAAGCAATGGCTACGCTACGTTCAGCCCGACTCTATGACCTTTGGAGAGATGAATAATCTGTTAGATTGAGAGTTTTTAGCTACTTAACCTTTGGTATGTCGAAAGCATGTGCATGAGGGAAACATATCAAATTTACATCTTCAAATCGCAACATATATTGCATACACATGGAGCTGCCGCTCATCGAAATGGTCCATGACCCTTTTTATGTACTTCAGGTTGCTCCGCAACAAAATACGGGCCCGCAACCTGCATTTTCGAGTACCTCCCATTCGAAATCCATCTCTTCTGCAAGGTATATCAAGAAAATGAAAAAAATGTCAGATCGTGAAATGTCGTACTTGTTGATAGCAAGATACAACAACAAATTACGAAACAAAATTTAACGAAATAATACGAACATCGTATAAGGGAATAAAACGAATATCAACATTGGTACGAAAATGATAACACACGAAACAATATATTACAATTGCACGAAAACAAATGAAATTATTGTGGTGTACAATATGCCGTACATGTTAATGCGAAACGCATATATTACGCTCGGATCAACCAACGTTCCACATGTGGAGCTGTCAAGTGTCAAGTGTCAAGAGAAATTGAGAAAAATTTTCGGGTCCCGACAGTTTATCTGTCGATATTCAAGCATCTGCCGAGAATTATTGCGATGAACTGTCGGGAACTACAGTTTGTCTGTCAATATTCTCCCATCTGCCGAGAATTACTGCGGTGAACTGTCGGGAACTACAATTCACGACGACCACATTTCTCTACTGAAGTTACAGAACATAACACTCAGTTTTCTCAATAACCATACTGGAAATTGAATAGTGAATACTAGAAAGTATAAACATAAAATCAAGTAGAAAACGGTGAAATCGCCTTCTGATCAGCATGACTGATGATCTACAAATGGAAAATCTAATGTCAAAAGCTATTGATTGCCCATATTGAAATCCAAGTTTGCAGAAATGAAAAGCAGCAATACCGTAAACAAGACTTGATGAACTACAATGATTCAGATCACGAATTTTTGCTCAGTCTCACATTTCAATAATGGCTATTATTTGATCAGAAACAACAAAAAATTAATCTTCTCTAGTATGAAATTGACATTTTTTTTCCTTATAATATCCAAGGTAAAATTAAGCACAAAGGCAAGTTCTTTTACACCAAACCCAACTCAAAAAAGCCTTTCTTCCATTCTCACTCCCTGGTAATTTAGCATTAAATTGCCACCATATTGACAAAAAGAAGTAGTAACAGAAATCAGATCAAGAACCAGAACTTGGGTTTCTTTCTTTACTCAGCATCTTTTCAAGATTTCCATTGATTATCACATAGCACTCAGATAATTGAACTTGGCATGACACAAACCTAATATAAGAGCATGTTTTGGAAAAATTACTTGGGTGGGGCGCATGGCGGTTTCAAGTGTGGAGAGTCGGTGGTCAAAGGAGCCCAAAATAGATACCATTTTATCAGTGATTAATTCGCTCTTCTGCAGTGCCTCCCTCATCTTTGTTGCTCTTTCGCTCAGCATATCCACTCCTCCACCACCACCAGTTGCTGTTGCTGCTGTTCTGGCGGAACCCCCATCTCTCCCTCTCTAAAATCTCTCCTGAAATCTACGTGTGTTTGATTTCGAACAGGACTCGCTAGAGAGAAGATAACAAGGAAGATAGTCAAAAGAAAAGAAAAAATGAGGGGATAAATTGACCCATTGTCATCAATGACATTTTGTACAATAGTCAAATCTCAATTAATGCTACACATGTAAAGTATTTAAATTATGCAGAGGGGCAAAAATGTCCAAAATTGACAATCTTGGAAAGACTTTAAAAAGTGACATTTTCGTAAATGCAAAGCCAAAAATTGACATCTAGTGCAATTTCCTCTTATTCCCTTATTATTATTTATTTTATTATTTATATATTAGCTGAAAAGTGGTTCACATGCTGTAAACTACTTTTATCAGAAGATTCACTTTGACTGATGTTCACTATTATAACAAGATTCCTTAACCATCTTCGAAGTATTGAAATATGTACCTTTAAATTGTTGGATTTGCAACATCTTCTTCCTTTCTCAATCATGCAACATTGCCTCAAGAGTTTGACAAAAAGGTTGACATAATATCACATGGCATTATATCATAGGATTGTCTAGAACACATTCATCTTTTCCATCCAATTATATCTTGCCAACACTAAATATGTCAAGGAATTTTAAATGGCATAATCTTTTTTTCTTTTCTCTGACATCTGATGTTAATTTTATGTCAGTTATATGTTAGAAGTTCAATTTTATTGAAAGAAGAGTGGAAGTTGGTAATTGATTCGATTAAAAACAACTCTGATATCCAGCCTCCAGTGGCAGAATAAAAACTTTCCAATGTATTTAAGCAATATAAGTAAGGAATAGTAGTATTACAATCACTTCCAAACTTGCCCTATATTTAAGCCATAAGTAAGGTTCTTCCTTTTTAAAATTTTTCAGGACTGCACATACATAAAGTTTGTATATTCATAGGATGGAGAAGAAAACGCGCTACCAATAAAAGGATTGAGATGGTAATCTCTTTTCTTTTTGGGTCAATGCATTTCAATTTAATGCAGTAATCCCAAATTCGCAATTGTCCATGGAATGGCTCGAAGAAACAGAAAAATGCAAAGCCCCTTTACTATCTGGTATAAGATAATATAATACAATATATATTTATATATATATAGTAAAACATTCATTACATTCTTCTACTACAAACACTCTTAACGACTGCTGGTTTTCATTACATTTCCAAGAACTGAAACTCTCTTAGATTCCCAGAAAGAAAACCAGATTACTGTTTCCTACTTTGTTCCATACTTTACACCTGCATGAATATAATTTGAATGTTCAAAGCAATCAACAAATGTAATTCATCAAACCATACATTATGTACAAAATTCATTTTAATACTATGAAAGTGTTTATAGCTAGTTATATATACTTGATTAATTGAGTGCAGTGAGGGGAGCTCGTGGGTCTCTCAAAGAATAGGCAGCCTCTAAAATATGCTTTATGTCTCCATTCATTTGTATTGATGATTTTGCATCCCAAAATGATTTGAGGAGTTCCTCAAAACTTGGGGTTCTGAGTTCTTCAATGGAAGAAACGCTTGGAAAATTGAATTCTCTTTTCCTCGGTGTTGAGCATGACGGTTGATCCACCTGTCAATGAAGAGTTGATTTAAATTTTAAAATAGAATTTTGCACATGGAATTGCCAAATCATTTGCATCGGAGGAGAGAGACGTAGTTGCATGAATTTTTCATATACTATTATTGACATGGAAAAGAGAGTTTCATGTAACTGTACGTTTGGCAAGGTGTTTTTAGGTGTTTATAAACACCAAGGTCAAAAAGTGTCTTTTGATCAAAGCACCTTTTATCCACATATTTTGTAGGATTCACAAGTACTACTCACTATTCACAGCTCATTTACCCCGTTTATAAACATCCAAGGCGTTTCGAGGTGTTTATGCACACCATGATCAAGTAAAAGCATTTTTTATCCACACTTCAAAGTAGGAACCACTAGTATTACCCACTTCTCCACCACCACCCATTTACCCCAATTAAAAATGTTCATATTTATAAACACCATCTCAGACATATCCCAAGTTATCCTGTAATGATCTAATATTTGATGCAACACACATGTAGGGGTGTCAAAAAGGGGCAGGCCGCCCAGCATGCAATAGACATGCCCAGTTTGTGGGGCCAAGCTTTAGGGTCCTGTGGCCCACACGTTCCAATACTTTTTACAACATTGATGCAAAAAAGGCTCGGATGAAGTCTTACCATGTATTCTTCTAAAAGGCATTTTCCTGCATTTTCTGTGATTTCTACAGTCTTGTGGTAGTGTCCGCTCTTCAGTTCCCTCAAGTTTCCACAGCATGGATCAATCATTAAGTTGATATTCCCACATGCCTCGCGGTCAAGTTGAAGTGAACCTGCATGGATTTGTTTAGTAGAGTACTATTATGTATGTGAAATAATAAAATACCAATCAATTCGATTTGAAAGGCTTGATGTCTTACGTTCAATAGACAAGAGAACATTCTTGCTTCCTATATCTGCATTTTCGAGTGCAGCTGACATAGCAGAAGAAAATTTTGCACGCAAGACTTGACTGGTCTCTGTCCCTACCCTGTAGTAAATATGCGGCATATTTATAATAAATTAGAACTGTGCAACCTTGACTTGAAGTGTACAACCAAGGAATGCATAACTAACCTAACAATTTCGTCAACAGAAGCAACATTGCTCTTCTCTAAACCGAGCAAGGATTCTTGTGCATTGCACCATTGTTGCACACCCAATTTTGCTTTTTCCAAACTGCACAATATTATTTTTGATATTCAAGAAAGTAGGCTAATTGATCATTCAGCACAATGATATCGATGAATATAGATCATGTTATGCTATGCTGTTTTGAAATTTACTTATTGACTTGCAAGCAAATTTTCTAAGCATAGCAAAACATGCTCTTGGCAACAAGAAAGAAGAGTACACTCACCAGTTTTGGAGAACCTCTTCCATATCCCTTTTCCCAGTTTCCACTGAAGCAGTGTTCTCCAGATAATGAGATTCAGCTTTTTCCATGTAATTTGTCCACTCAGCTTCAATTGAACAAGCAGTTTCCTGCATAATTGACATCTCTTGTTGTAACCTGTTGGTTCTACTAGCTGCACTGTCCCGAAGTCCATCTATTGCGCATTGAACCTAGGGAAAAACAAGAAAAAGGGGGAAAATACAAAACTGTCAAAACAATGAACCGTGTTAACAGAAATAATACGTGAAATCACACTTGCAAGGATATGATCACTAGATCAAAACAAAAACATGAAACATAAAATCTAGAGTCATTAAATCGAAACATATACTGCCTTAACGACAAACACTCGTGTGTTCCATAAGAAATTATGACGAACTCCTAGCAGAAGCTAGCAAGGAAAGAATAGAAACAACCATTGTTGACAAGTTCTCCTCGTTGACGATTTTTTAACGTTTTTCTAGAATACCCATTATATACTACAACATTTTGTTATTGTTCATTACATTTAGTAATTTGAAGGTCGGTAGAAGCTAAAACTGCAAATATTTTTAGTTGAATAATGACATAGGTGACTTCAATGGTTGTGAAACTAAATCTACCAGCAAGTATGGTTCAAAGATTTATGGAAAACCCCTAACAGAAGAACGTTGTGACAATATTTCACAAGAAAGAAGCTGTTTCAAAGCCTTACCAGATTGTAGTATTTGTACTACTGAGTATAAAATAGTAAGACGTTTTGGTTATTCTTATAACATTTCGTTTTGCAAACACTTTACAGCACCAACTTGGAGGATCAATGAAAATAGATACAGAAATGTGATAAGTAGATGTGATTAATCTACAAGGACTAGTTTAAAGACAAGTCACTCGAGCAGCTGGCTAAAATGGCATGTTGATTCTAATCTAAATTTCTCAAATTTGATGCCATGGATTACTGTCAGTATCAAATAAAATGATTGTAATATAGGTGAATGTACCAGCTTTTTCTTCCGAGCATTTGAACCAGCAAGCAGCTCTGCCACTTTTTGTAAGATTTGCCTTTCTTCATTAGCAGCACACTCCTATAGAAATTTGAGACAACCAACGCAGAATGAGTTTAACAAGTATGCTTAATCATACCAAGTGTGTTTTAGATGAGGGGCTTAATCACCTCAAATTTCTTTTCAAGCTCGGACAATTTCTCATCATTAACCACCTGTGCTTCTTCCACAATTTGGCCCAGTTCTGTAGCATGCACGTCCAAAGTCTTGAAGAAGTTCACATTAATTTGGGAAATTGATCTTGTGATAGCAACAGCTCTGGTATGAGCCTGGAAAATATGTCAACGTCAATTACGTCCCTTTTGAAATAAAAAATTAAAAACAAAGAAAGTGCTTGGCGTCAAAACAATCTGCATTTTAGTTAATTAAGAAAATGCTAACCTCACGTTGCCGTAGTGCATATGCCGTTAGTTTATTCTCCTGATAGTGCAGACTGTTTTGAAGATCATGAAGTAGTGTATCAGCATCTGAAGCAATTCCTCTGAAAAGCTGCATTTTATGAACTAATATCAAACACGTGCTAAAATAAGTCTAAAGTAATTTCTCAGAGCATTGCAATGTACTCAAACCTCTTCTAAAGCTGAGGAATGCTTAGAAACTTCGGAATTCAGACAACCATATGTTGACTGAGAGTTATCACCAAGCTCTGCAGCTAAATCATTTAAAACTTTGATGCCAGAACCATACATGGTTTTCAATTTTGATAGTCGACCTTGAAGCTCTTCAGCAACCTACAAGCATACAAGATGAGAAACTGTGTTGACTAACCATATACTACCTCTAAAGGCTTTATCCATTTAACGTCATATACCTCAGTCTTTGTGGATACAAATAACTGCATGTCTTCCTCCATTTCATTGAGTTGTTGCTCTTGTTGTGTAGCCGAAGATGCCACAGTTTTATGCAAGATTTCAAGCTGCTGAGTCAATTGGGATTGGAAATTTTGGATAAGAACTCTATTGCCATCTTCTATTTTGTCCTTGCGTTCTGGAAAATCAGTCATACATAAATAAGATTAGCATAGGCTCATTTATTTTTCCTTTCAAAAATAATATTGCATATTTGATATTCCAAAATTAGGTTGCAAACCAATCTTCGTGAACAGATTAGAGACATCTGATGTAGTATTCTCCAGTTCTGTTCGAAGCTCAAGTGCCCGTTCAACGAGTGCTTTCTCTGGTAGAAGGTAATCAAACAAAAAGTCATAAGGTTGTTTCATGGATGTCCTTTTATTCAAACATGGTGGCAAAATCAGGGGAAGCTATATATTTTGCACATGTTTAGCTCATGTTTATAAGCGCGCAAAACACTTTTTATCCACTCATTTCAAGGGTCCACAAGTAGTACCCACTTATCCACCACTCATTTCTATCAATTTATAATTTAAATATTTATAAACACTTCCCAAACATGATCACTAATGAGTACTGCATCTTCAGAATTGTAACATTCCCATGGCATATAAGCTACTAATACGTTTTTCATCTTTAGATAACAATAAACATAAGATGAATCATAACAGCAGTTACAAACACAAATCATCCCAAAAAGTCAGTTGACCCAAGCAAAATTTACAATGAGAACCAGGTAATCTAGGTTCACCTCCAAAGTTCAACAATTCCAATTGAGTGATATTTGGAAAAACGAGAGCAAAGACAACTATCTAGAAGATGGATATTCTAACTTTCTCTCCAATTTATTTAGTTATATATAATGAACAAGATTTCTTATGGAAATACAGAGTTTTTTAGAAAATTTAAATTCTAAATATCTAAAAGGGGGGTTTTGTAGATAAATGATTATATTTCATATATAGGCCGGTAATTCTCGAAGTTTCCTTTGGAGAACCTCAAATTTACTTATTATTGATCCGACTATTAATTCATCACAGAAGAAAACATAATCTTATCTGCTGATCTGTTTTGAATATGATAGTATGTTCTGGTGGAGTTCTGGAAAATTTCAGTGGAACAACATTAGAGGTCATATATATATATATTAGATTTGCACGTTAAGAGATAAGAATCTAAGTATCTAACACAGTTGACTCAAATAGATAACTGTAATGCAACGAGTTATGTTATTTTTCATTTCGAAAAATAAATAAACAATTCAGCAAGAAATTCAAAGCTTTTAGTTTGAAACTAGGTTGAAGAATAATAGGCACAGAAAGTGAGACTACCAGATTTAAGAAGATTGGATATCAGGTATTCTTTTTCTTTTATTGTTGCATTTGCCTGCCTGTGTCTTTCTCCAAGATCGAGCAATGCGTTCTCAGTTTCGTGTAGCTTTTTCTGAACGAAGAAAAAAGTAGCATAATTATTCCACAGTGTTTAAGAAAATGGGAAGTAAATTTTTATTTTGGATAAGGTGAACATTCATATATCACACCTCAGTGTTCTCAAGTTTTTCACTCAATTCAGTAGTCAACTGCTGCTGAACGTTGTATAATTCCTGGATCTCCATCAATTGCTACTTCAAACAAAACAAAATTTATTAATGAATCAAATTTCTTAGTAGTATCCACAAAAATGATATCCAAATAATCAACATTTACGTTAAAATACCTTGTCCCTGAATTCTAAATCTAGCTCCATATGTTCAATCTTTTCAGACATGGCCTGAAAGGGCACAAAGATAACAAATTTTGAATTTCACAAGAGAATGTAATTTTATAACATCATTAGACTAAGTTCCTAATGTCAAACTTTTTTCTCTGCCTCGTCCTGGAGATAACGATCTCTTGGTATATATATCCCATTCTTCTCTCTGGCAGCATACACCTCTGAAGCACAAAGTTTTTGTAAGGTATGCATCATTGTAAAGAATACCGCTTGAAAGAAGATTTAACGTTGAGTATTTTTAGGTGAACCTAGGGAAAGTTCACACACACACATCTCAGAGAGAGAGGGAGGAAGAGGGAGAGGAAGCAATCAACAACCTTGCTTTAATCGGTCAATTTCTGAGTACAAATCCTTCATCATTGCAGATTTCATCATCTTCTGGTTAATCTGCAATTATAAAAAAATGAATTTATCTACTAGTACAATCTAATAAATAGCTAAAGAAACAACAATTGTAGCACATTTTCTTTTTGTCAAAAATATCAAAAGTACTGACCTCTGGTTTGTTCTTTATGTTTTTGGCACGGTGAGCGTAATCTAAAGTGCTGAGTGTCTCTTCCAAACAGTGAATGGAGGGTGATATTGTGGCAATTATACAAGTCTTTGTCTTCCCTCCCAGAGAATCTCTCAGCAACCTTGTTAATTTGCTGTCTCTGAGATTTCAAGTGAGATTTTTGGATATAAGAGTTTATATACCCTGAAACATGTACGGCTACTTGTACATATAATTGAGAAGTTGATTGGACCTATACCTATATGGTATGTGACCAGAGTGCTCGACCAAAGCATTTATGACCCGACCAAGTGTCAGCAAGCTCTTGTTGATCTCACCTGCTTCCCTTGCTCTGCCCTGCAATAGTAGATCAATGTTCTTTAGCATAAAAAAGGTACAGATCACATTTTGGAAAGAGTTAAGTCATTTGTACCACCTCCTTTGCCACTTGCTTTACATATGAATGATGTGGCAGATGGATGATGGTTTGATTAAATGTGTGAAATGTGAAAGGTGGTGTATGATTGTGCCAAGTGTAAATTTGGTAAATTAGGGTGTAAAGAAAGGTGTATATGTAGAGAGATTGTTTTGGAAAAGCAATTTGTAATGCCTGTCAGCATCCAAAATTTTTTGTTTAACAAGTACATTACTGCAAAATAAGTCTCTTCACATGCAATATCACCCCGTGGGAACAATATAATTAGTACACCATCATGCATTGGAGAAATTATTTATGATCTCTCATAAGCAAAAAGTTTCCACCACCCATCCCGACCTCTGGAAACAATATAACGAGTACAATTTTAGCACTGTAAATTATGATCAACTTCTCACCTCTCTAGCACCAGAGCGTGAAATATTTTCTGAGCCAGCAAGGTCAACAAGATTCAGCTTCCCACATTTAATCATCTCCTCTCCTTCTGGGGTGAACTCTTTGATATGAATTGTGATAGAAAATATAGAATGAGAACGACTGCTTTGTTTGTTAAGAAGGGTTTCTGCCGTTCGCCTTTTAGCCGAACCTTTCTCCAAGATTTTATATATTTCATTCGCAGTGGTCACAATCTCTTCTTCCAAACCTCTAACAAAAACTCCACCTTTTCCGTCCTCCATTAGCGCGATTGGTTTCTTTGATTTGTCATCTATGAACTTTGGACATTCTTCAGGTGCCAGAAGATCCGTTATTTCCTCATTGTACAGCTCTAGGAATGTAACTTTCATGCTATACTCAGCATTTTGAGCTTCTAAGATATCAAAAATTTGTCGAACAGCTCTTGGAATAACACCAGCATCACTTGGGAATTCCCCATTCTAACAAGATTAATAATCAAATAACATAAATGAAGTTATAAATGCTACTAAACGGAAAAACATGGCAAATATGTTTTAGAGGTTACAGAATAAAAACAAACCTTTTTCCTCGAACCACCACCCTCCATGGTGTAAGTCTTTCCTGTCCCTGTTTGTCCATATGCAAAAATGGTACAATTATAGCCCTCTAGAACTTCGAACACTATTGGCCAGACTGCCTGATCATATAAATCTTTTTGCTGGGAAGATTGACCAAAGACCTAAACATGATAACGATAACTTTTTTTCTTAATAGATCACATAATAAAAGAAAAAGAGAACAGAAAAGAGAAAAATAAATTGAGTAGTAAAATGGAAATCAAATTGCAACCGTTAAGGTTGTCCCATGTATGTTAGCTTGACAAACTCACTTTGAATTTACTACAGCTTATTTGTAAAAATCTTGAAATTATGACATGGAATTCAGTAGCTTATATGAGATTCAATATGTTCTTGAACTATATGTTTTCATTTTTTATTTTTTATTTTTCCTTTTGGTCTTTATTTTGTATTTTGTGTTATCAAAAACAAAAACCCAATTAAGCATATAACAAAGTAAAAATAGCAAACAGACCTTATCAAAGAGGAAAGTTCTATCGATCTGCTTGTTAGCAATATTTTGAACAGCACAAACTTCTCTTCTGTTATCGTTGCATGAAATCACCACTGGTGTATGCATTCTCATCTCGTCCTCACTCAATGGCCTACAACAGAAGATTCAATCAGCACTCATACTTGATTTCTTCGAATCGCTTACAACATAAAGAATTCAAAGATAACTCACCTGCAGCGCACAATGACCTGCACATTGACACCTTTATCCTTATCATGTTTTCCACTCATACTCCCCTCCGATCGCAGATCTCGCGCCGCTTTGTCACTAGACCGCGGCGTTTGTGACGGTGATATCGGTACCATTCCCCCTCCTCCTCCTCGTCGCGAAGCCTCCATTCTATATATCAACACTCAGATTCAAATCTCAAAACCAAGCTTCAACTTTTCCTATGCAACAAATCAAATTAACCCATCCAACTTCAAAGCTCTATAGAAAAACCTAAATCAACCAACACATTGTAAATAATCCACAAACTCAACTGATAAATCACAATGTATATTGTTTGGAAGCAGTAAAGAGCAGATTCATAGAGAAATAAAAAAGGAAAGCCGATTTATTGTTGATAAAATGTCAAGATAACTTATGAATAAGATTTGTTTTAAAAGATAAAAAATCTCATCTCAGTGATGCGTGCATATGAAGGTATACTTACAGTGGATTTGGAAGGCCGGCTGTAGATAGCTTAGAGTGAGTGAGAAAATACTGCCGAGAGAGGGGGATTCCGTGGAGTAGAAATTTTTTAATTTTAAGTAATAATTAAAAAAATAATAAAAATTAAAAGAGAGACGTGACAAGACATGAGCGTTAGGTCATCTCCAACCATATACCAAATTTGTACCATTTTGTATCAAATTTTACATCATTTTACACCAAATTGAAAATCATCTTCAACCCATTACACCAAGTGAATAGCGTTTAATAATTTTCTTCTTTTTTTAAGTTTTAACAATTTATTTATCTCTATTTTTTTACTAGATAAATTATTAAATAAATAATTACGTTCAGTCAAAAGGAATGTTGAATTCATTAATAAATTTAAAAACGTGTAGTACAATTAAGAAAATATCAAGTCATAATACTAAAAAAGAATATAATACGTCTCGAATCACAATATATTGATATTACAAAGTCGAAATAGTAATCACAATTAATTATTTTGTATTAAATAATTAAAATTTATTACAAATGCAAATAATAATAATAAATTGAGAATTAAAATTTGTTGTATAACAAAATGGTCAAATATATCCTTAACAAAAATTGGTGCAAAGTGGAAGAGAGATGTAAAAAAGTATTTAACCATTGGTGAAAATGGTGCAATGTGTTGGAAGGATATTTGCACCAAAATTTTGGTACAATTTGGTGATTTATGGTGCAACGAGGATGGGTTGGAAATGTTCTTAGAGATCCGTTTTGACAGAAAAATCAAAATATAGAAACAATTTTTTTTAGAATAAATTAATAATTTAACAAAATTACAGTCATACATATTTGTTACGCATTAACGAAGAAAACCAGATAGGATAATAAATAAAAATTTATTTTTTCTTAGGTCAGTTTTATCAAATATGTCAGAAATAGTTCCAAAATTTAATTTAGAGTTTGTTTGGGAGAGATTTTTGGGGGAAGAATTGATTTTGAATAGTGATATAATGGGAAATGTGTGGTTGAAAAAGAAGAAAAAATTATTGATGTGATGGAAAATATTATTTTATTGAAAAATGTGTTGTTGAAAATGAGAATTGATTTACTGTAGAAAAATTTAATTTCTCCCAAACAAGGCCTTATACCATTTTTAGAATAAACAAATCAATACATTCAAAACAAAACATTTTTTCAAATTACTTGGAGGGTGGCATGTACGAGAATAATTCATGGATTTTGTTTTTCAAATTTTAATTTAAGAAAATTAGGTGGATTTCAGATTTATTTAGGTAATTGTCAATAATTAGATACTAATGAAATGATAAACGCATATTTTTCATATGTACTATTTTAATTAACATTATTCAGTATACGAAATTTAACATGATAAACGCCTATTTTTCAAATGCTAGAAAATATACTTTCTTCCGATTAGAAAATTGAACTGAAATCACATTTTAGAAACCGTCGGTTTAGTGCCACGTGGACCCGTCAATGAAATGGTTTTGAACCAAAATCGGTTTGGTTTATGTTTAAGAATTTTAATTGCGATTTAAAACCAACCGCATTGGGAAAAGAATATATAAAAATAAAAAAATAAAAATTTCTGAAAAATTCAAATATGTAAAATTCAATAGTTTTGTCATGTGTTGGTATTTTTGTCAATTTCTAATTTTCTATTACATATATTATTATCACCCAATAATTCTAATTTATCTCTAATAATCTCAAGACTAACCTAATATATCAAAATTCATTTCTCTCTTCAAAATTCAGAAGAAATTCAGCCGACACAGTCTTGAGCCATTCGCACCACACAAAATCGGAGACAAAGAGATCCTGGGTTTTCGGTGATAATATTTGGTACGAATAAAGTTTTAGATCAATAATTTTTTTGAGCAAACTGAGGTAAGAAATATGAAATTATATGAGTTTCGCATTTCTCTCAACTATTGGATGATTGTGAAATAAATTTATTCACTTAGATGGAAATGATTTATCTATTATGTACATAATTATATTCTATTTGTGTGGACATACTCTTGTTTTGTGACTAAATTAGGTATGATAAAATATGTTAATAGAAGCTAAAAAGTGTTCATGTGCAATTTGATATGTGGATGAGCTGTTTAATAAGCTAAAAGAAACCAACAATGACTCTAGTGGCAACTATACTTGCATCAATTTAATTGTTGTGTTTTATTGTATGCTTAGATATTTTGTTAAACCGTTTCTTTAAGTGTTTGGAATTAATAAAGATGATATCTATTCAGTTATCCTATTAAAGTCTTGGATTTTGATCCAGTGGGCGTAAAATTTATCATTTAAGGTGTTGCCTTATTGATGTCTCAGTAACTGTATTATGGAACTATATGCTTTCAAATAAATATTTAGTTTGTAAGTGTTTTGGGCCTTATATTTAGTTTATTAGATTTGTATTGTAACATTATCGTAACGTCTTAACCTAAAAATGATGAACAAAAAATTATTATTATGATTTCACTTGGATTTAGTTGGTATTTAAATTTATAGTAAAAATATTTAGTTGTTTTAAATTTATTGCTAGTAAAATATAAATATATGTTGAATTCAATGAATTAATGATATAAAAGTAGATAGGCAAAAAAATATACGATGAAACCGGCGGTTTAAAACCGGACCAAATCGTTAGGTTTAGGTTTGAGTTTTTTCAAACCGTTCAAAATTGTTCGGTTTAAGTTTGAGTTTTTCTCAAACCGATTTAAATGGTTTGGTTTGAAAATCTGTCAAAAATCGATAAAATCGGATTGCTTACACCCCTAGTATGGATAACAAAAAAATCTATTCAACCCGATACTCATGGACCCCTCCCCAAATGAGACGAGGGTCAATGCATCGAAATAGGTATGGGACGGGTAGGGAAAACATAGTCATGTCTCACTACCCGCTCCATTTAAAGTTAATTTAAAATTTAAAATTTTTAACAAACAAAAATAAAAAATTTATCATTATTTTTAAAGAGAACGTAAAATATTCTTAACAAATTAAAAAATATATATTTATTAACTATAGATATAAAATAAATAAATAAAAATTAAAAAAAATGGGGCAAGGGACATGCCAAGTCTCAATCCGAACCCACGCGTCCTGTTTTAACCTAGTATGGGGATGCGGTAATGTGACAAAAATACCGAGAGATGGGGGTGAAAATGGTCGACTCGTCTCATACCCGTCTCGTTGCTATCCCTAACTAAATGTAGAGTTTGACATTGAGCCCCAATTTGATTCTCATTATTTCAAAACATATTTTTTCTTAAACTCATTTTCAATCACATAATTTCACAATAAAATATTTAATACATAAATTCAATTTTTTTCCTACTTTTTAGTCCATGTTTGTCTCCCTTTAAAACAAAATTCTTTAATTCTCATACTCATTTTCAGCCACATTCATATAATAAAATATTTGCACGTAAACCCAAATCTTTCATATATTTTTTAATCACATATTTTCTGAAAAATCACTATTCAAAACATCATTTTTTTCTCAATAATGACCATCAAACAAGGATTTAATCACACTTTTTTCGGAACTTCACTATTATAAAAACTTGTTCTAATGAAATAATGGACATCAAACTAGGGTTAATTCTTACCTGCTCCGTTTCACAAAATGTAGTATTAATTAGTCATTGTTTGGTGGAGATTAAAATTAAATTTTTATTAATTTTAATAAAAGTTGATGAAATATTTGATTGGAAATTTGTGGATCCTACGAAATATGTAATTAAAATTAATTATTGATTTTGATTTAAATTAAAATCTTGATTTTAACTCCAACATAGGCAAAATGCTTAGTATAGAATTGAATCTTTGAAGCCCCCGTTTGAGCTTCATTTTAATGAGATTTCGAAAGAAAATGTATTTTAAAATTGTGATTTTTTAGAGAATGCGTAGTTAAAAAATAAGGAAAATTTTTGAGTTTACGTATAATATTATTTTATGAAAAATGTATTGTTGAAAAAAAAAATGAATTAAAAAAAGCCCAATTAATAGGGTCGAAAAAACTACAGACATCAAAATATATAACCCATGTTTGGTATACATTCTTTTAAAACTCATTTTCAACCATACATTTTTCAATAAAATAATATTTTTCATCACATCAATAACTTTTTCTTACTTTTTAACCGTATATTTCTCATCATATCACTATTTAAAATACATTTTTTTCTTAAGTATTTACATTGTTAAGTGAAAATGGCAAAGTTTGATACCCCCACGTGATAAAGAGTGATGGGAGCCCGCTTGCACATGACTTTTAGCTACATTGTGGTGTCCAAATATAATTTCTAGGAGTTGTTATCACTGTGCCCCTGCCCAATGGTCAATATTGAGAAAAAATGATATTTTAAATAGTAATTTTTTAAAGAATTTGTAGTTAAAAAATAGGAATTTTTTTTTAATTTACGTACAAAATATTTTATTGTGGACATGTTTGATTGAAAATGGATATAATAAATAAAGAATTTTGTTTTGAAATGAGACAATCAGACACTAAATTATCTAGGGATCATCAAAGAAAATGAATAGCCAAAATGACTGAGATTGTAATGAAGAGTTTTTTTTAAGATGCAAACTTTATCTCTAACATCCTCTCTCATGATAGGGGTCCCAT